CCCGAAAGTTAGCAGGTATGCATTTTTCATATTTGATATTTAACTTTCACATATACAAGTAAAATACATACCCAAACAAGTCAGGTACCTACAGATATCAAATATACTTGTACTCGATACTCAGCCCTAATATCAAATGGGTCAAAAGTAGTAAATGTGCTAATTGGATTGCAAAATATTATTGAGACCTAATTATATTTTATTTTGGCCAAATGTTGATTGAGTATTTTTGTGCTAACAGTTTTATTAAATTTTTTTTTAACATATGCCTTAAGGTGTCATGTTAAAGAATATATTTATCATATATTTTTAAAAAAATTATTATGAAAAAAAATAAAATTTGATTTTAATTTTATCAACACTCAATTAAAATTAAGCATATGTAATTGATATTTTCTCTATAATTAATAGAGAAATTGTATAATTAATACATCATTAACCTATACTCTTAGATTACAAGTTAAACAAACCTTTTTACTAATTGTATTGTACTTCCTCTATCTTAGAATATATGTGATTTCTCTTTTTTGTGTGTATTTTTAAATAATACTTTTTAAAAATATATGAATGATAATTGAGATTTTATATATATATAGGATTTTCTAAGGGTATAGATTAATGATGCATTTGTTACATATTTTCATCATTAGTTTACATGGAAAAAAATAAAAGCTGACCTTAGTTTCATCAAACATTCAATTAAATCATTTCATGTTGTATTGATGTTGAAAATAAAGTTTACTCTCCTAATTATCTGTACAAATTATTAATGAAAAGATATAATAAATGAACCATTAACCTATACCCAAAAACCCTTCTTATATTTAATTCTCATTGAGTAGTTTGATTTGATAAAAAAAAAATAACTATCATTTATATTTTGTAAAAAATATTATTGAAAAAAAATTAAACCACTTATATTTTGAAGCAAATGGACCAACATATTGGGTTAGGGGGAGGTGGAGGGGGGTTCCTTAGGGCTTGAACTTGAAACCAATGTTTTTAAAATTGAATTGGAGGTCAAATTATTTTGACCTTAGGTTCATGATTTGAAAGGTTAAATTAATTTGATCTATTAAAATGTCGGTTTGATTGAACTTTACAAACATATAATAAATATAATATAATGCAATTCATATAATATAATGCAATTCATTTTGAAGAGTTTGAAGTGGTTTTAGTGGTTGGAGCTCTTATGCATCTTTAAAATATAATAAATATATCTTAAGACTTTACGTGTCAACAAACATGGTTCAGATTAGATGATGGAAGCAATTTTAAGTATGCAAGATGGAAGTCACTCGAGTTTTGCTATTAGGTTTGTTTGGTTAGGACACTACTTTATTAAAAAAATATTATATAAAAAGTTACTAAATTTTGAGTTTTGTTAGAATTTTGTTGAATTATTAATTTTGTTATGTTTGATAAGAAATTAATATAGAGAAAGTTGGTAAGGAAATATGTTAAGTGAATCTTATATAGGGATAGTTATAGAGAGACTTTTTCCTTTTAGCAAAGGTATAAAGAAAATTTTATAAGTTAAGAATTATATTAGAGAAAATAAATATTAAAAATATTATTTTTATTCTGATTTTATTATAATATTAATGTATGAAAATATATAAATAATATTATAAAAAAATTTTAAAAACTTTACGAGGAAAAATTCCCTCCAATCCCCTTAAAATCTTTGTAATATTATTCAAAATATATTCTTTGCAAGTCATTTCACAAACAGTTTGGATGCTCTTGTGGTAAATGATTTGTTAAGGTCATACCTGAGTTTGGTCGCCCTAGTGGCAAGGTCACCGTGAGGAATGATTTGTTCTAGTGGTAAGGTCACGCAAGGCATGATTTTTTAAGGTCACGTGAGGTGTGGTTTTTCTAACTTCAGTCCAGGGTAAGCGTATGGTGATTATATTTTTTTGATAATTAATTTATATAAAAGATATTAATATTAACTTTAATTTATAATATATTTAAGTTGAGGGAAATAGAGAAAAGGAGAAAAAACAATTTTTTTATTTAGTTATCAAAAAAAATTAAAGAAGAGGAAAGTGAAAAAATTCCTTTTATTTTATTTTTTTAATTAATTTATTTATCCGAATGAAAAAAAAATGAGAGAGAAATAGAGAGAAATGAAGACATAAAATTCCTTTTCCTTCCTTTCTCTTTCTTTTTTTTTTAGTTTATTTCTGTCAACTTAAATATACTATTAATTAATTAATTAAAATTATTTATGTGATAGTAATATTAAAATAAATTTTAATTTTTATATTTTTATATAAATTTATTAAATAAATATATATTTATTATACCTTTAATTTATATTTTTATCTGATTTGCATAGGTTAAACAAAGTCAAATTAAAAGGATTTAGTAAGTAGAAGAAAAAATGAAAGAGGAAAATTAAACGCTAGAGGAAAAGAGGAAGAAATGCATTCATTAAAGTGGAGTTATCTGATTTGCAGGATTTTTTTTGGGTAAATAAGACAAATATTATAACATAAAGCAAAAATACCTCGGTCGATTCTTGGAGAACTCAATCGCGCTGGTAAATCATATCAGCAATAAATGCACATGCATGTCTGACCGAGTGATGGATACAGTCCAACACCACAAAAATCATCCAAAATATTGGGTCCCACCCTCCTACGGCGAGTATGAATTATCTGATTTGACCAATGACATCAAAATCTCAACGGCGAAAGTAAAGCATCCACTCGTTTGATTATTTATTGAATTTCCCTTCTCACGTCATTCTCCTCACAAGTTCAAGTATCCCTGTTCTAATTGTCTATACCATATCAAAATTCAATATTTGAGCAGCCCATTTTTCACGTTATCTATACAATTATTTTCGATTTCACAAATTAAAAAAATTCATGCGATAATTATTATTTTTTAATAAAAAGTATAGTTATATTAATAATTAAAAAATAATTACAATACAAACTATACTTTACCATATAAGTTGAACAAAAAAAAAAAAAAAAACTAAGGGCCTCTGATACTAAGATATAGAACTAGCTGTTCCATACGAATAAAAACAATTAAAAATTAAGAATCTCTAAATATTAATATATGTTATAGAGGTATCTATAAAGTTACGCAATAACATAGAAAGAGTACGCTAGAACTTACTGATGCTACTGGCATCACATCTATTGTATCATCCAAACCTAGCATAGGAGATCAATGAACTTAGCAATGAGTGTCTTCTAGCATTACAATGCTCTGTCCATCTACAATTGATTTTTAACTAGGAGGCGGAGGGAAAGGATCTATCTGTATGACCAAAATAGTGCCCTTAACACCATTCACCTCCTTAGGAATCATACCCACCAACCACAGCTTTTTCGCCTTGGAATCATTTGGTTTCCAAATCGAGAGTAAGGGAAGAATGTTGTCTTCATCCTTTGTAAGATGAACACAATTGAGCATGGTTTTGATTTTGTAATCTGCCATTCCTAGATCTAAATTAAACCACCAAACCGTAGCCACTTGAGCCAAGCACAACCCACCCAAGCAGTAAATAGCCACCCTAGCAATCTGTCCCACAATTTTGAAACAGCCTCCCAGTGGCCAGTTTCTAATCGCTCCCTAGATCTGAAAACACTGAACCAAAATAAAAGGGAAAACCAAAAAGAAACAAGGGAAGGCACAAGCAAGAGGAGTAGTAGTAGGCAACAGAGAAGAGACAGGGAGCTCCCAAGCCAAAGAGAAAGCCTGAGGGATAGGCCTGCCGCCTCCGAAACCCTAGAGATTTTAGAGCATGAGAGGAGGGTTTCTTTTCTTACTGTGGTAATTAATTTTTAGTTTCAATTTTTAGAATTTAAAAGTGTTGTAATTAATTTAACTACAGAAAATTAATAGCAAATTGATGAAGGAAACAGTTCATGGGAAATAGTTCAAAATTGGTTTTTGAAGAAAATTGGAATTAACCAAAATTAATCAAGGAATTGCAAGTTTGCAATTTGTGAACTTGAATTGATGTCTTTTATAATTTAAATTCGAGACTCTTTTTTCAAAAGGAAAAAGGAAGAAACGGAGTAAATTTGGAAAAGTTGGACTAGGGTGGTAGATGACAAGAGAAAATCGTAAGCTGCTGGATTTAACCTTGGCTCGAGTTTCACTCGTTTGCTAAACAAATCCAGCTTGAACTCAATTTTGAATTTGACAAATTGAGTTTGAGTTCGTTAGGCTCATGAGATACCAACAAGTAACTCGTTTAAATTTTAAAAAAAAATTTAATAAATTATATTATTTAATATAATTTAATTATTTTAAATTATAAATAAGTGGGTAGTTTACAAGCTACTCAATCCAAAATCGATTTGTTTGGCAAAGGATCTAAGCTTGAGCTCCACTTTTCTCTAAACAAGCTGACCTCAAGCACTACTTTTTTTAATTCAACAAAAAGCAAATAATACCAAGGAGGGGTTGGATCAATTGGCAAGCGATTTGTTTCAATTTAAGCAAGATCTCGAGTTCGAAATCTTGTGTACGCAGCAGCTTTCGTTGGGAGACCCATCCACTATTCTGATGCGCCACAGCTGGTCGAGTCCGGAGTAATCGGAGCGAAGCACCGGATACTGGGAGGAAACCAAAAAAAAAACAAAAAGCAAATAATTAACGAGCTCGAGTTTCTTATTGTGGACTTGAGTTTGAGTTAAAACATTTAAATACTGGATTTAGTTTGACTCATTTATATCTTTTTTTTTTATTTACAGTCAGGTCATTTCCAAGTTAATATATCTTGAGATTAATCTCTCTTGAAACAATATTAAAAGCACACATTCACATCAAATTGGTGTATTTAAGTAAATTAATTTTTTTTTATTATTGATTTTAAGACATAATTTCTAGATTTAAATTACTAAATGACACTTATTTACTGATAGATTAATGTAATTCTTAAAGTTCATTTAGAGCCCTGTACAACAATTAATCTACATAGAAGTTGACAATATAAATAAAATTTTAAAAAGCAAAAGAATAAAAGGAGGTAGAACAGGTCGTTGACAATATAAAGAACAGGTGCGTTCATGTAACAACGTTGGGGGAATCATGTTTATTATTATTATTTTTTTATTGGCAAAAATTGATATTATTAAAATGGAGTACAAGTACTAATAGATGTAGATCTTAAAATGTAGCAGTGTCAATTTGGGGGGATCTTGTTATCGTCAATTTGGGCGTGATCATGTTATTGTCAATTTGTGGTGTAGCTGTAGATGCAAAAAGGAAGTAGGGTCAATTTGGGGAGATTATATTATTCTCGAGAGCAGTGCTAGGGGACGCAAGTCCACGTAAGCTTTTTCTTTTTTTTTTTTTGATCAGCAAGTCCACGTAAGCTTGTTTCGGCTTTGTAGTGCAACCTTTTTCGAACCAGAATAACGTGGGCCAATAAAAATGAAAGTGCTGGCCGGAGAGTGCAGGAGGCGAGTGCCCCTAGCACTCTTATTGTCAATAGTGTCAATTGGGGGATAACGTTTTTTTTTTTTTTTTGGTGAAACATTGTGGGATAACGTTGATGTCGGCTACTATAGCGTTGAAATTAAACCAAACTTTTGGAATGTGGGTCTTCCTACCTAGCTTTTGATCTTCTTCGGCTCCTGTCCAAAATATTGATGTTTTGTCTCCAAGTCTTGGAATTGGGAATACGGTAGGCTAAAAGAGAAGGCCGGTGTTGTCATGAGAATTTGAAGTGAAAGAATTCTGATTCTTAAGAGAAACAAAGGGGTGAGGAATGTTTACAGCGGAGAGAGAGAGTATCGTAAAACACTGAAGTAACTTTTCCGGTGTATCTTGAAGAATGTAGAAAAGATTCTCCACCTGTAAAGAGGTAATTCTAGCGACGGTTGGTTCTCGTTCTCTGATCTACATATTCATGGATTCCTGAGCTGATTCTACTGCAATTTTGGTTTGGGATGAATTTGTTTTACATTTCTTGAGGTTTTCCTGGTATATGATTCTACCAAATGAACTTTAAGGAAGGTGATGAGGTCTTTCATGGTTCCATGGTGGGGTCTTTCATGGTTCGAAGGTGATGAGGTCTGATGGTTCCATGGTGATGATCCATGGTGGTGAGGTCTTTCATGGTTCCATGGTGGTGAGGTCTTTCATGGTTACAAGGTGATGAGGTCTTTCATGGTTCCATGGTGGTGAGGTCTTTCATGGTTACAAGGTGATGAGGTCTTTCATGGTTCCATGGTGGTGAGGTCTTTCATGGTTCCATGGTGGTGAGATGAGGTCATTCATGGTTCCATGGTGATGATCCATAGTGGTGACGTCTTTCATGGTTCCAAGTTGATGAGGTCTTTCTTGGTTGGTGAGGTTTTTCATGGTTCCATGGTGGTGAGTTCTTCCATGGAATTTCATGGTTCCATGGTGATGATCCATGGTGGTGAGGTCTTTCATGGTTCCACGGTGGTGAGGTCTTTCATGGTTCCATGGTGATGAGGTCTTTCATGGTTCCATGGTGGTGAGGCCTTTCATGGTTCCGTGTTGTGATCCATAGTGGTGAGGTCTTTGATGGTTCCATGGTGGTGAGAGGAGGTCATTCATGGTTCCATGGTGATGATCCATGGTGGTAAGGTCTTTCATGGTTCCAAGTTGATGAGGTCTTTCATGGTTGGTGAGGTTTTTCATGGTTCCATGGTGATGAGGTCTTTCATGGAATTTCATGGTTCCATGGTGATGATCCATGGTGGTGAGGTCTTTCATGGTTCCACGGTGGTGAGGTCTTTCATGGTTCCATGGTGATGAGGTCTTTCATGGTTCCATGGTGATGATCCATGGTAGTGAGGCCTTTCATGGTTCCGTGTTGTGGTGAGGTCTTTCATGGAATTTCATGGTTCCATGGTGGTGAGATCTTTCATGGTTCCATGGTGTGGTGAGGTCTTTCATGGTTCCATGGTGATGAGGTCTTTCATGGTTCCATTGTGATGAGGTCTTTCATGGTTCCATGGTGATGATCCATGGTTCCATGGTGATGATCCATGGTGGTGAGGTCTTTCATGTTTCCATGGTGTGGTGAGGTCTTTCATGGTTCCATGGTGATGATCCATGGTGGTGGTGAGGTCTTTCATGGAATTTCATGGTTCCATGGTGGTGAGATCTTTCATGGCTCCATGGTGATGATCCATGGTGGTGAGGTCTTTCATGGTTCCGTGGTGTGGTGAGGTCTTTCATGGAATTTCATGGTTCCATGGTGCTTTTTTTTTTTATCTGATGATTGAATCTTTTCTTTATTAATTTTTAGGCCAGAAATGGCATGGCTGGACTTGTTTGGATTGATTTAGGTGGAAAACGGCTGAAATGCCCAATGGTTTCTACGTTTCAGTTCTTTGGATGTTTTTTAACTTCAAGATTTTTCATCCACGCTTATTTGTTTTGTGGATGAACTTAGGTTTTCGATCTTTTCTCAGCCTGTAATTCATAGGAGATTTTGTTTGTGGTCTTTAGATATAAGGGGCGAGATATGGAATCGGGTTTGGTTTGTCTCAATTAATCTCAACTTATTCTATGTGGGCTTGGTAGAATAGTGGGTATGAGTTAATTTTTGATTCGAAGGCCATAGTGGGTATGAGTTAATAGACATCAGGATAGTGTTGTTCTTTCTTTCTTTTCATTTTTTTTTTTTCCTTTTTTTTATTTTTTTAATGGTGGAAACTTCAGGATGGTAAGTGTGAGGCTTAATGGCAATAGAACTTAATTAGGCTTAGAATTGGAATAAATGATTTTAAGGAAGCAATTAAAAAACTTCAAGAAAAGGGGAATAATTTTTTTTTTAAAAGGAGAAATATTAATAGAAATAATAGAAACAAAAGATAAAATTCATAGAAAATAGAAGGCAAAATTGGAAGTACTTATTTTAATTGTAATTGGGTTTGGTTGTGGAAAATTGGACAGTTTGGTAATAGGAACTTGCTTCAGGTGAACCAGATGCCTTATTTTGTGTGTTATTGCACTTTGAATTGAAAAGTCAGCAAGTTAGTCGTGTGTCATTATTCTTCATTTTGAGAGCTTGTTTCATGGGTAAATCTACATCCAGTGGAAACATGGTAGACAGATAATGATTACATAAATTCAAAGACAAATGTGTACAACTGAGCATCATAGAGCATAGTCTACATTAGCTCTGGCCGAACTCACTAAGGTTGAGTTTGAGGGTGGTTTTAAATCTTGGATTTGGAATATGTTTCATCTTAGTTTCGCAGTGACATTGCTGCAAGAGGATAATGTAAACCAATGTTTTCTTTATTTGTGTTTTCCTAGTGGTTCTTGTGTGCCAAAAAGAAAAAAAAAAGAAGGGGTTTTGACTTTAAGGCCTTGACGGATGAATTTTTTTTTTTTATGAGTTGCTTGATTAAACTATTTTTGCTGATTGAACCTCTGCATAAGGTTTGGTGATTGGGGTGTGGCAACATGACAATGAATGAGGAGAAGACGATTGACCTTGGTCAAGGATGGGAATTAATGCAAAGAGTGAACACACTGCTGAAGAATAACCTGGACGGCCTGGAGCCGAAGTTGAGTTATGAGGACACCGAGAATCTTTCTCTGTATCCTTTTTATGTTATTTGTTTGTTTACAATGTTAAATATATTGATTGATATTTTTTTTAGAAAAATGATTAGTACACTTTTCAATTTACACCGATCAACATTCTTTAGTTCAGTCATTAAAATTTAAAATTTTAAGTTTTCTTATTTTTAATTTAAATTTAAAAATAATAATTTTTTAATAAATATATTATAAAATATGTTGAATTAAAAAATATATGTATTAATATTCATTTTTTTTAATGGTATGATGTAATATGTCAATGAGAAACTTTTCCTTAATAATATTTTTTAGAATCATCACTGAAATGTGTAACCAAAAGCCGGCCCACGATTATGTTCAGCGGCTGTATGACAAGTACAGAGAGTGTATTGGAGAGTACACCACATCAACAGTAAGGGTTTATGACTTGCTTCTAAAATTTTGAGCTGTATAATTGGCTTAAACAGTTAAATTATATTGATTTGTTCTTGAAGGCTGAAGCAACACGGTGTTAGTTTAGCCATCATATGGCTGAATAACATACTTTGTAGTCAAATTTATAGCCTTATGTTGCCTTTTTAATTTGAAATTTGCTTAAGTTATTGTACTAGTTTTAATTTTTTCAATGCATTGCTTATGCTTTTTTCTAATTAGGTGTTGCCATTTTTAAGAGAGAAGCATGGTGAATTTATCTTGAGAGAGCTTGTTCGTAGATGGGATCACCATAAAGAGATTGTCAATTGGCTTTCCAGTTGCTTTCAATATCTCGAAGGCAACTACATATCTCAAAATTCATTGCCTTCCCTCCATGAAGTTGGAATCACTTGTTTTCGTGTCCTGGTATGTAAAGAATGTGTTGGAATACTAATCATGATTCATGAACAATTTCATTTAAGATCATGCATTTTCTGAGTTTCATGTACCCTCATTTTTCATATTATAACTATAAAAAGGCTTATGCTTGGGTCAACCTGAGCAAGCCCAACTAAATTTTTCAAGAAATCTCGTGATCTTCCTTTCGAATTCCTCCCAAAAACTGTTTATTTCAAGAACATTGCTTTCTCTTGACTTTAGCTCTAGCATTCCAAGAAGAATATTTAGAAACTGGTTTTCTTTGATTTCAGGTCTACCAAGAGCTATATGGAAAACTGAGCGAGGCTGTAATTTCTCTTAACAATATCTTGTTGAAAAATCAAGCAGATAAGGGCGAGCACATTGACAGATCCTTATTGAAGAATGTTTTACATATATTTGTTGAAGTTGGTATGGGGAAGACCTATAGGAAAAATTACAAGGTGATTACAGGCTTTCTATCTAATGTATAAATTATGCCACTTAACCTTTCAACTAATTAACCATAAATTATTGCACCGTTCCTAATGTTAGGTAGAGGATTTGTCAAGAATGGTAGAGCTCTGTTCTCAAGTTCCTGGAGGCTTGATTATCATTTCTCGGATTTTCGCAGCGGTTAGACTTTTTTTCTTCATGCATATAGTATATAAACAGTGTAAGTCTGTAACTCTATTTTGTCAACAAAAAAAAAAAAAAAAGAGAGTATTTTATGGGTTAAATTGTATATTAAAAGTATAATTTTTTTTTATGAATTTATTTAAATATTCTTAATAAAATTATTTTTAATATTATTTTATTAAAAATATTTAAATAAATTTATAAAATAAAATGTACTTTTAATTTGCAATCAACCGTACATGTAAAAACTTAAATCTCTTTTGTCAATAACATCAAAATTATTCTCGGCTTCATGTTGCGAGAACCTAGGTTTCTCTCTTCTTCCTTTTATTCTGTCTTTATTCCTTGTCTCTAATATGGCTTCGTCTTACTCTAAACAAATCTCCTCTATGTTTTCTACAATTCTTACATATCCTAGCGTCACCTCTTCTCACCCTTTTTTTCACCATGTATAATATCAAGAACTTTGTCCCTGAGACACTGATGCATGAAAATTATGCTATTTGGAAAGAACTGATGATTCTTGTTTTCAAAAGCAAGGGAGTCTATGGTCATACTGATGGTATTGATCCATGTCTGCCTTCTACAAGTCTAAATTTTGAAGCTTGGATGCAAATTGATTTTTAGATCTTGTTTTAAAGGGCATCTTCGTGTATTCTTTTTTCACTTAGTCGTCCATCCATTTACCACGTATTGATCTGTTCTTTGCCTCCTTCATTCTTTTCTTTTCTATTCATTCAAATAAAGTCTCTCATTTCCTTTTCCACAGCATCTTGCTACTGAAGCTAAAGCATTGGTTGAACATGTTGAGGATGGTGCAAGCAATGAAAAGGTTTGTATTATAGTTGTCTTAGTTTATATAATAAGATTTTAGAGGTTTCTTTTCCACTTATTTATAAGGTAGAGCACTAAAGATAGATCTTCTATTAGGTATCTTGATAAAGCTGCTTAATGATTCATTAACATTGAGGCAACTAATATTATGGCATATAATGTTACTAGAAAGCCTCAATTTGACTTAACATTGATGCAACCAATTTGTTTTGGCTGTCCTTACCCATATGAGCACATGGTTAGCAATGCAGGGACGGGTTGCAATTCTATTAACTACTGGATTTTATACTATATTGATCCTCTTTTGTTGTTTTTCAGGATTTTGTAATGAAGGCTATTGAGTTGCGTGACAAATACTACACCTACGCCAATGATTGTTTCAAGGGAGAAACTTGTTTACTTCTGGTATGTGATAAATAATGGTCATGTGCTAGCTATTTAAAGAATTAGAGATAAATAAGCTAGGAAAAGAGCTTATAAACTGACAAGCGAGTGAGTTCCTCTTGGGTGAGGAGAACGAACAATATTAGCTAGTAGCTAACTCTTAATAGTAGTACTTGTGCAATCAAGATAATAACTAAGCTAAACTTATTGAATCTCAAGATAGAGCTAATAGTTAGATAATAGATAACTAGTAACAAGGTTGCAATTCTTGATAAGGAATTGAGTAAGGCCTTAACCTTTACTATATTAGAAGTAGCTCCTGAATCAGTAGTAACAATAACAACACTAACAATAGGTCACCTGTATAAACCTTAACTATAACAATGGTAGCTTTAAAGCCTCTTTTGTTATCTTTTTAAGGTATCCCTACAAGATATTACTTCAATTTTTGATTTTCTTCCATTTCTTCTAGGATCTCAAGATTACTTTTCAAGAATTTTGGGGAAAGGGTGTGGTTGGGATGTCATGTTCAAAAATTTTGGCTTCCTTTTGTGATAACATTATAAGGAAAGGAGGAAATGAAGCAATTGAAGAAACCCTTCAGAAGGTTTGCTACTTTTGGTTCTAGTCCTAATTAATTTGATCATTCTAGTCTTATCTTCATACTCAATATATGGTTTCTAATCTTTAGGTAGAAGACTTGCTCAATTATATCACATGTGATGACAGGGATTTGTTTGCAAAATGTTATTGGTAGGTATTTGGGTTAAATTTAGTTATAAAAATGGAAATTAATCATATCTTATTCATCATCGTTCTATTCTACTTCTTGTTGAATTTCTTTGATAGGAAAAAGATGACTCAAAGGCTTCATTTTTACAAGAATGTCGATGTGGAATTTGAGGCATGTATTCTAACACAACTGAGGTGGCACTTGCAACCCTTCAGTAAGAAGATGGGGCAAATGGTAATTTGTGAATTGGAAGTTGTTTCTTGTCTTCTAGAATTAATGATGCTAATCTAGAGATTTTGTCTTGAGTTCAGCTTAGAGATTTAACATTGGCAAAACAAAATCAAATGGCTTTTAAGGATTACTTGAGCACTATTCCATATACAAATCCAAGGATTGACTTGGCTGTAACTGTTCTCACCAACCGTTGTTGGCCTCGCTACAAGTCTTTTCATCTTAACCTTCCAACTGAAATGGTATGGTGTATTATAGTGAGTTGTTTCTTATATTTTGATCTCATACATGTCTTTAGCACCATTTTGATTTTTTTTTGTGAAAATTGTGCATATGGGTTTCAACACAAGGTGTGCATCTAACCTAAAACTAATTAACAATAGGTAAAATAGCCCTCTTTATATTTAACCTACAAGTTTCTTTGATATATCATCAATGTGGGATTTTTCCACTCAACACACCTCTTTTTGTGTAAGCCCATTATGAACATGGGTTTTATCATGTGACTTAATATGCCTTTTTACATGCAAGCCTAGCATGAACTTCAAGTCTTGTCCCCCTCGTGTACAAGCTTGGTATGAACATCCAGTCTTGTCAAGTGACTTAATACACCCATTCACATGTAAGCTTGGCATGAACTTAAGGTCTTTTCCGGTGGGCTAATAATGGGCTCTTCGGGAACAAAGCTTGGGCTTTGATACCATATGAAAATTGTGTATATGGGTGTCCAATCAACATGCCCCTTCATGTGTCAGCGCAGTATAACTGTCAAGTCTTGTGATATGGCTTAATACACTTCTTTACATACAGACCTAGTATCAATTTTAAGTTTTGTTAGGCGGGTTAACAATGGACTTCTCAGGATTGAACTTGGGCTTTAATACCATATCGGGTCTTGTCACGTGACTTAATATACCCCCCTTACATGTAGGCCAGGTATCAACTTTGAGTTCTATCATGTTTGTTAACAATGGGCTTCCTAGGATGGAACTTATGCTTTAATACCATATAAAAATTATGCATGTGAGTTTCATACAAGATTTGCATCCAACTTAAAACCAATTAATAATAGGTGGAGTAACCCTCCTTGTATTGATGTGGGATTTTTCCCTCTCCACATGCCTCATCACATGTAAGCCTGATATGAACATTGCGTCTTACCACGTGACTTAATATGCCCGCTTACGTGTAGGCTCTACAACTTTTCAAGAACAAAGTCAGGGCTTTGCTACCATGTGAAAATTGTGCATATGGGTTTCAATATAAAGCTTGCATCCAACCTAAAACTAATTGGCAATATGTGAAGTAGTCCTCCTTATATTTAACCCACGAGCTTCTTTGTTATATTATTGATGTAGGATTTTCTCACTTAACACGCCCTCTTACATGCAAGCACCTAGTATCAACTTCAGGTCCTGTCCGATCTTGTCATGTGGCTTAATATGCTCATGTACATGCAGACTTAGTATCAACTTTGGGTCCTATTAGATGGGCTAAGTATAGGCTTTCTAGAATGAAACTTGAGCTCTAATACCATGTGAAAATTATGTATGTGAGCTCCAACACAAGGTTTATATCCATGTTAAAATGAATAGACAATAAGTGGAGTAGCTCTCCTTATATTTAACTCACAAACTTCTTTGTTATATCATTGATGTGAGATTTTTCCACTCAACACTCTACACCTTTTCCTATCAAATGGATGACTTGGTTTTAAGATTTTGAATCATTCACCATCACCCTTTTTAAGCAAAAAGGGGTTTAATTCTCAAAAAGATAGCATTGGACTTTAAGATTTCACAAGTTTCTTCTTTGTTCATGCTAATGTATCTAACACCTTTTCTTTCTGAAATTTCCATTGCATAGGTCAAATGTGTTAAGGCTTTCACTGAGTTTTATCAAACTAAAAAGAATTGTAGGAAACTTACATGGATAAATTCCTTGGGGACCTGTAAGCTCATAGGCAATTTTGAGTCCAAAAGTATGGAGTTGGTTGTAACTACATCTCAGGTAATATGTTAACATTTTTTTGTAAATAATCTTGTCTTAGGATTGGGTTTTTTGTTATTAACTTTGAATTTGGGTTTTACGTTTAGGCTTGTGCATTGCTACTCTTTAATGAGTCTGATAGGATTACGTATTCAGACATCAAGGCCTCATTAAAGTTGCCTGATAAGGATCTTGTGAGGGTTCTACAACCTTTATCTTGTGCAAAGCGTAAGATACTTAAAAAGGAACCAAACACACAAACCATATCTCCTAGTGATTACTTCGAATTCAACTCAGAGTTCACATATAGAAGGAAAAGGATCAAGGTTGAGTTCTATTTCTTTATCCTATTTAGATAGTTATTTATTTTCCTTCTTATCAACTTATATGTTATCTTTTGTTTAACTTGAAGATTTCAATACCTCCTTTGGTTGAGAAGAAGGTAGCTGTAGATGATGAGACTCGTGTCCAAAATAGAATTCATAGATCAAATGTCATTGGAGCCACAATAATGAGGGTAATGAAAAGGCATAAGGTTTTGGGTTTTCGACAGTTGTCAAAGGAATGTCTTGGGCAGTTGCGCTCCAAGTTGAAGGTCCAAGAAAGCACTCTATTCCTCTTTAAAAGTTACAAAAATTGCATGTTGTATGCAGTGATGTTAATACAATCAAATGTTGCTTTTGCAGCTTCATCCCAGGGAGTTCAAAATGCAAATTGAAAGTCTGATTGAGCAAGAGTATATTAAGAGGGACAAATCTAATCCTAATCTGTTCAGGTACATACCATGATGTGGATTAGTTTGGTAAGGTGTTTACATAAAGAAATTGAGAGAATTGAAGTGTGAAATTTGTCTTTTTCAAAGTAACAGTTTTTGAGTAATTGTCGCTGATATTTGTATGGAGAAACTAACCAGGATAAGTATAGAAAATGAACAAATGCATAGACAGCTCTGTAAAGTCCTCTAGGAATCTTGATGCATCTCATGCCATGCTTAACTTTTGATTGTTGTGTATATGAAAAGAGAAGGGGCAACTAACTCATCAAAACACAAGAATGAACCAAGTTCCCTGACATTAGTTAAACAGTTGTCCATGATAAGAGCTGCTTATCTTTCACTCTATTTTAATAGGGGTAAAAGCACAACTAACTCACCAAAACAAAGGAATGAGCCAAGGTATCTTCTGCCATAATATATACATTTTATCTTCTGTAATAATATATACATCTGCACCCTATCCTTCTTCGAAAAGCTTGTCCCATACATTCTTTGTTTCCTTGGGACAAAACCACACTCAGGAAGCCTGTTGGGATGTTCACTCCTTGTGTAGATTTTACATGGAAGAGGAGGTGGTTTGAGAATATTATTAGAGTTAGATGATACAGAAGAGGCAGACTCTTCCAGCATATATAATTAAAAAAAAAAAAGAGGCATAACTTAATAGAGAACTTTGAACAAGCTAATATGATGAAAGAATCAATTCATTTCAAAACAATATTTTTATTTTTATGTAAAATATGTTTTACGTAAAAACAAGAATTTTTTTTTTTTCTCATGCATTTTAAAGGGGAACAATCCACCAAGGTGCTAGCTTGATCTCTTCTGATCAAATTGATAAATTAGTGAGCAACTTCCATCATCCAAGCTATATATTCCGTTGTCACGTCACCCTACATGCATCATCGACCAATAATCATCCGTTACAACTTGCACAATCATTGTTTGTGGCTATAGAAATTGAATGATTTTCACCAAGAAACAAAGACCTGTCCCCTAAAGAATTCACCTCTACCCATTTGTTCCCTACTACGTCCAACTTGAACACCTGGAACATCTTCGTCACTCCTAAGTAATCATTTTTAAACTCTCTCTTTTCATCAACCACATCCATAACAAGAAGAATCTCTCCTCTGGATTCTACCACGTATATTCCATTAGACCAACAACGTGATGGCAAACCTGCTAATTCTACTTTCTTCTTAATCAATTCCCTAAAAACAAGGAATCACAATTCTAATTTTTCCGGTTTCATAACTTCTTAAATCCCAAATATCAAGATAATCAACCAAATAACCTACTGCATAAATTTTGTTCTCGTGACAGATGATGTCTCTGTAAGTAATGAGTTCGTTTTTTTCTTCATCATCATCATAACTATTGAATTTGGTCCATCCTATAATATCCAAGAGTACATCCCCTGGAGACAAAAACTACGCCATAATCACCGACGGGTTCTGCAGTTAAAATAGCTTTTTGAATGAAAAATCGCCGGAGCCACTTTGAGAGATCCCTGCGTCGAACTAAATACTTTCCCGCTCCATCACCTTTCTCAATTTTGTATATATGGAAGAAAGGTTTTAGGGATGGAAGTTGAATTCGGACACCCGATGAGGGTTTAATAGGACAGGGATGAACGTAGCGAGTTGCAAGAAAATCAGCCACCCATGTGATGATCCAATGCAAGGAAACTCATCGAGAAGCACAGGCCAGGTTATCGGGTGCAGACTGCAAGGCGAGTTTTTGAACATGCTAATGAAGCTGCAACAACCTCGTTTAGAAACAGGAAGCATGAGCCACGGTGTTTTGAGGAATTTTTTGGATTCTGCAAAAGGGTTCCAGTAAGAAGATAAAGCTTTTGTCCGAACAAGATCTTTGTAAGGCAGTCGCCAGAAGATGGATTCCAATACCTCGCAGGGCAAGCTGCGAAGGTTTCCCTGCTCCTCTTCATGTTGAACATTTTTACTTAATTAGGAGCCTAATGGTTGGCCTTATATATATATACATAGAAAAAGGACATTGACCAAATTCTAATAGGACTATTATACAATTCCTGGCCGGATTGTAAAGTTAAAGTCCAGTTAATCTTAGAATTCTGAGTCATTAATGATCTTGGGAGGTTTTTAGCTATCAGGCTCGTTTATTATCATCATCATTATTATTATTATTATTATTATTATTATTATTATTATTATTATTATTATTATTTTACATGAGAAATTTAGGGGTTATGGTTGATTTAACTACTCAAAATGTTACATATATATATAGAATAAAATATTTCATTTATTTGTTTTTATGAATACATTTATCCAGTTAACTTTAAATTTTAAACATATGATATATAAATAAAATATTAAACTAAAGGTTTAATTCTCTTTTTGGTCCTGTAACTTGAATGTTTTGTATTAATTTTTTTCCTTAATTCTTCTATATTTTTTTAACCTTAAACTCTAAATCTAAATTTTTACACCAAACTTGTCTCTTGATCAATTCTCATCAAACTCTGCCTTTAGTTGGATAACTGTAGATGTTGATACTTTAATGCAAAATTTGGAAGCGAAAACCCAACACGGAGGCAGGGAGTATGGATATTACTAATGAGAGGTGTCAATATTATCTGAGAGTGTCGACACCAAATCCGTGTCAGATTTTAGCCCATGCAGTTTCCGTTTACAATAAGAAAATACAATCAGAATAAGCAGTTAGCTAGATATTACAAAAATACTGGAGAAAAATAGCTAATAAAGTTATTAGATAATACAAAATTATTTAATAAATTATTATCTATATTATAAAATAACTAAATAATCATGACATAATATGACATGTTTAATATTTTATGTAAAATATTATTTGAGGTTAAAAGTGTTATATAATTATTATAATTAAACATAATTTTTAAATAAAATCATACACAAAATATAAATTGTGTCCAAAAATATTAATTACATGACAGTTAAATATCGGAAAAATTAAAGAATACTATCTCAATCATTAAGAATTTATACTTAATAACTATACTTAAGATATCTATATGGCAGTCATATGATTGAGAATACTATAAATAATTATACTTAATTTAATCAATAGTTAACTTTTCTAATTGTACTTTTCAGTCCCAATACTCACCATCAATGTACTGCATCTCTCTAATAATATTTGGAAGAAACTACCCCACATGTATGTATGATAGAAAACCGGTGTTCTGGAACATATTGTCATCTCATATAATACAATAATAATATAAAATATATCTCAATCTATATCATAATAAAGTCAAAAATTCTTGTAAGAATTTAACCGCCCGTCATTCAAATTTTGAATATTTAATAAAAAATGATTATTTATAAAAGTAATGAGATAAATGCCAACAGTCGTTATATATGGAGATCTATGTTCTTTTTCTTTCTACTGATATGCATTTTAAGACCAAATTACCTATTTTTTACATTATATTTATCAAAAACATTTCATTAGAAATTTCATTAGAAAAAGTTCTATCTTTCAAAGACTACAATCACAAAAATCAGAACATTAAATAAAATATAAAATATATACTTTATATTCAATAATATTCATGTTCCACTTTTTCTTGAGATCAACGACTCTCTTGTGATTGGATTTCATAAGACATGTGATACATAGATAAAAAATCTAAAATTTCATACAATTTCTTTCAAAATCTAGGGTTCACGAAAAAAAAAAAAAGTTTAAAGATATTAAAGATTTTTTTTTTTTGTTTTTTTTTTCTTCCTTTTCTTGTCTTATATGATGGATTCTATAAATTAAAATATGTCCTTTGAATGAGCAATAATAAGTGGGCAAGTAGTGAGGTGGGGTAAAATTTGTCCAACTAAATATATATATATTTTTTTTAGGTGTAATTGCCACGCCATTAAAATTTTCAAAAGATTGAAGTGTCTCATTAGTTTAACAAGCAGAGTTGGATGGGAGTTGATGAGGGTTGGATGGGAGTTAACGGAGGGACATGTTTGGTGTAGAAATTTGGAGTAAGGGGACCAAAAAAGTGTAAAATGAAATTGAGGGACAAAATCAGTGTAAATTACTGAAGTTGAGGGATTAAAAAGGACATTAAATCTAAATTAAACTATTCCTTTAATAGATATAGATGTAAAATATATATATATATATATATATAAAGTATGGGAAATGCTATTGGGATAATTTTTTTGTCTTATTTTTTTGTACAACTTGACGTGCCATTAAAATGATTTGTTCTTTTAATTCATGTGGAGCCAATAATATTGAATGCATTCACTCATTTAATAACATATGAAAGTTGTATAAAAATGTAAGGTAAAAAGGTTATCTCAATAGTACCACTCAAAAAATATTATACAATTTAAATTGATAATTTGAATTTTTATATATATTAATGTGAAATTTATGACTTGATATTATTAACATTTAGATGAGTTTTATAAAATTTTATTTGATTTTACATAATTATCATTCTTAGCATAAGAAAGGATTTAATTAGAAAAAATCATAATTTTAAAAAGCAAATTACAGAGATCAGAAACATGAGGATTAACTTGCATGGAATCCAGAAGTTAGAGACCATAACTGTGATTTTGCCGTTAACCAAAATTCTTTAAAGGTTAAATACCCTTTTTGGTCCCTCTACTATAGGAAAAAGCCCTTTTTTGGTCCCTATACCGAAAAAATCTCCTTTTTGGTCCTTACTGTTTACAAATCCGGCCCATTTTTAGTCCCTCCGTTAAATTTTGGCTGATGTGGCA